TCTCTCTCTCTCTCTCTCTCTCTCTCTCTCTCTCTCTCTCTCTCTCTCTCTCTCTCTCTCTCTCTCTCTCTCTCTCTCTCTCTCTCTCTCTCTCTCTCTCTCTCTCTCTCTCTCTCTCCATGACATTACAACGAAAGAAAAGTTGCGAGTTTGAATGTCGGGCCAACACTGTACAGAAAACCAGTTCAAATAAACCTCCATTGTTTCCCTATTTAATGAACAAAATACCTCCAAATATACAACAGAATAGTAAGAATAACCACAGAGATACACCCACAAAAAGATCCCCAAAATAGAAGGAAGAAAAAACTTAGCTTTTCGATGAAGAACCTCGGCGCCAAAAAAAAACTAGAACTTCAAGCCTGGGTCCCCGATAGAGACTTCATCTGAACATGGTTGGAATCAGTAGTAGTGGGCAAAGCTTCATAAGGCCCGAGTCTTCGAACCCCAACAAACTTCATCAAGACTGCATAGGCCAAAACCACAACCACCAAAACGAAAATCACGTGAAAAAGGAAAACCAGATCAAGCAAAGCCATGGCTCGAAACCTTGACTCCTCGAGATCACACCTCGTTGATCCCTCCACACCAGTCGCCACATCGAGAAGTTGATGGCAACCCTCCGGTATAAAGGCCTCGGCATAGAGAGAGAGACCAGTTTGCAAAACCCACAACCCTTGCAAGCAAATCGAAGCCCCTAGGGCAAGATCCGCAACGAAAAACCTAGGGTTAAAGGCAAGGATGAGAGAGAAAACAGCTGAAGCAGCAGAGATTCGAGCACTGATGGCATCGCACTTGCCCTCGATCCCTAGAGTGAGAGACGAGGAAGAGATAGAAACAGTGTAGTGGAGAGAGAAAGCAACCGAAGCTATCAAACAGAATACATCATTTGGTAAAGGGAAGAGAGTGGTGGTCTCAGAGAGGAGGATGGCTAGAGAGAGAAAGAGGAAGATGAAGAGGACGGCCGCAATTTGGAGAGAGGAGAAATGGTAAACGGAGGAGGAGCCTTTGACGAGGGGATCGGGAGCGGAGGAGAGAAGGAGCTGGTGGAGGAGAGAGAAAGAGAGAGAGAAGATTAAGAGATAGAGGGGGAGGTGTTTGAGAGAGGAAAGAGAAAATGGGAAGGGGTGGTAGAGGCGAGCGGCGTAGTCTCGAGGAGAGCGGAGGTAGCTCTTGGTAGAGGAGAGGACCTGGTAGAGGCCAAGGGAGAAGAGAAGGAAAGAAGAGAGAAGGTGGATTAGGAGAACGGCCATGGCTGGGCTAGAGAGAGAAAGTGGTAGAGAGAGAGTCAGCGACTGCAATTAAGGAAGACTTCGTAATTTTGAAAAGGTCGGCACCTCGAACTTATTCAAGGCTCGCGCCTGCGTCCCGCTCTTTTTTGTTAGAATTTTAGAGCCTAGTCCAAACAAATTTATTTATTTTTTTTTGTACTCCTGCGGGAGACCATTTACTTTTTATACAAATAGGTGATAATCGTACACTAAGATTTGAAATGCGGTGGTTGAGGGCGTATGATTGTTTAGGCACACAGTCGAAAACAAATTTCTCAAATGTTGAGAGAGACTTTTATTTATTAAAAAAAAATTGTAACCTTTTTGTAAAAAAATATAAAAGGTCTTACAGTATACAATCTCTATTTTTATATCTGAACTTTGGGATTCATTTTAGAATGAATTTTTCTTTTGGGATTATGTGATTCAATTAGGAAAAAATAAAACAAGTTCTTAATTATTCCTTTGAAATTTTAGCATTTACATTAAAACAATTTATGAGAAAGTATAAGATGAGACCGTTAAACTTTTGACACTATGAGATCACACTTGTGCCTAACCATCAAATTTGAAATCAAATGGCTATGGATATATTATGCACAATGCTCAATCAATTTATCTCAAACATTGTATAGCGTTATTAATGTTCAAATTTCAAATTTAATGGTTATAAATGATTGTCACCTTTTTGTACCAAAATAGATAGTCTCGTAATACACATATCCATAATTTATTCCTCTAAAATTAATCACATGATTAATAAACGAGTATTTAGGATAATACACTTTGAGACCATTTACTTCTGGTACAATGAGTCACAATCATATTTAACCATTAGATGTGATATCCAATAGATTGAAGTATACAATACATGAACAACTTTATTTTGGACATTTTGCCAATCAATAGCACATTTTCAACTACCCAATTTCACATTCAATGGTCAATAATAATTGTGACCTCCTTGTATAAAGAATAAAATGTCTCATTGTATACAATGCCTTTTTAAAAATAATAAATAGATTTGGAGAGTTCAATAATTTAAATTTTGCTATTCAATATTTGGATGACCTTTTCCTCTGAAATTTTGGGATTTACTTTATAATAAAAATTTTCCCTCTAAACTATGTGATTCACTTTAGAATTAGCAGATGATTACCTACTAAAATTTACAAATAGATTTGAGTTCTTAATTATTCCTATTAAAATTTGGGATTCACTTCATAATAATTTTTTGCTCTGAAATTTTGTTACTCACTTTAGAAACAGCAAACGTGTATTTTTCAAAAATAATAAACAAATTTGAGTTATAAATTACATGGATCTGGCTATCCAAATTTCGGATGATCTCTGCTCAATTTTTAAGAGGCTTAGTATGAGGAAATTACCCTTCAATTATTTAGAGCCCTAAAGGTACTCAAACTTAAAAGAGTAAACGCAAAGTGTGAAGCATAAAAATGCAGGCAAAGAGCATTTAAAAGCAGCATGAGACACAAAATGAGCTAAACTTAACCTTGGCCGTTGAACTAACAATCTTGTGCATGGTGTTCATGTGGGTTTGACATTTTCATGGCTTTGTGATAGAATTTGCTTACACTAATACAAATTGTTTCCCAAAAATTACGTTGGGCCATTTGAAGCATGTGAGAGAAAGATAGTGTGTGTTGAAATCGAACCGGTCTCAAAAACCGGCCCACCGGCCAAGGGAAAAGTTTGAGTAACCAATAAACCGGCCTAACCGAACAGATCCTGGCTGGCCCTAAACGTGTTAAAAAAAAAAGTAATTTATGTATGGACCTTAAAATTTTAGGCAAAATACAAAATGTTGTGATTTAGGCAAAAATTACAAAGAAAGTCGGTCAACCTACATTTTTATTTTTTTTCAAAATTAACCCTAATTCAAATAGAATTTTGATTATTATTTTTTCAGTTTTTTCATTAGTAAGTCAGTGCCCTAAGCTTTAATGCACTTCCCTACTAATAAAAAAAAAGTAAAAATAAAAAAAATCAAAATCAAAATTCGGGTTGACTTAGGGGCAATTTTAGAAAAAAATAAAAAAGGTTGACCTAGTTTCCTTGCAATTTCCACATATAAATGGTGCATTTTGTATTTTACCAAAACTTTTAAGGTCTATACTTAAATCACTCTTAAAAAATAAAAAAACACAAAAATATAAAAAAAATATTTAAATCATGATTAAACAAAGCACATCCAAATGAAATTGAAAAGTAGTAAAAAATACATTTTAAAAAAATCAATTTGTGCCCAAGAGCACTTTCAAAAAATTTCAAAGAAATGAGAAAATATAAAAGAAAAATTATTTGGTGCTCGTGGGACCGCATTTCTACAATATGCGGTCCAGAGCATCCATCTTAAAGATGGATGCAAATAGGTGTTCCATCTAATAACAAGTGTAACTATAAGTCCAAATATTTCCTTAATATAATTATTATTTATAGTTTTCAAAAAAAAAATTCATATTCATGATCTCCATGTTAAAGACTATATATTCTCTAAAAATTAAGATCAAATTATATCTAAAAAATATATTTACTGCCAAGCCTGCATTTCTACAATATGCGGGGTGGCCGCATAGAAACTGTGTCCAATATAAAACGTATTCATAGCCAAAACGTATTTCAATCTTTGTCAAAATGATAAAAATTTAAAATTTTTTAAAAAAATTAAAACTAAAAAACATATTACAAATGAATCTTTATTTTTTGAAATTTTATATTATTTTTTTAAAAAATTAAAATACCCAACCAAACCATCAAAACTGGCCAAAATAAAATCGACGAGGTCCCGGTACATCCGTAACCATTCAATTGCACATCTATTGGATAATAATTGTTGTGACCGTTTTGCATAAAAAGTAAGGAAAATAGTTTGACAGGCCTGCAGCCTATCAAAAGAAGTAAAGCCTCACATCAAAACTCATCTAAAATTGCAATTTAAGTGCTGAAAAACCTTTAAGTTGATCACCTCAGCTTGAACATTATTGTTGTGAAAAAAATTAAAATTTCAAGTTTTAAAAATAATATGTTGCAACAAATCATCTAGACCATCCATTTCATCTAAAAAATAAGTATTAACATATCCACAATATTTATATTATTTTTTTAGTTTCAAATTTTATTGTGGATATTGAGAATTGATTTTAGAGTCATCATAAAGAATTTTTAAGACGAAGATTTGATGTTGAGACTTTATTTTGTTTTCATAGAACCTAGGCCCTATGGAAACCTCATTCAAAAAGTAAAAGGTGCGCTTTTATAGAGCCAATGCTCTAAACCGTCAAAGTAAAGAGCACATTCAAATAAGGGAAAAGTTTATTTAGGGCCGAGGCTCTAAACAATCATATTTGAGCCTACATCAAAAATTTCACTAGAAGAGGTTGATTTGATGCCCAAATATCATCAAATTGTTCATCTCGACATCAAGATACATGGACATGAGAAAAAAATGGATTTCAGGTTTTGAAAATAGCGTGTTTTGTAACACATTTTTTGACCGTCAATTTTCAAGATTTTCAAGTTTTCACATATATGTCAATCTATACTATTTTTGAAGCCTTAAATTTTATAAATAAATATGAAAATATATTTTAAGGTTATCACAAATATTTCCGATATTGAAACCACATTTCTCAATACTATTTGAAGGTAAGCTCTAATTTGATTGTTTTGAGCCGAAGCTCTATACAAACCGCACCCTTCAAATAATGTCGATAAATGTGGTTTTAATTATAGAAATTTAAAGCTTCAAAAAAAATGTAGATCTAGATGATATATGAAAACTTGAAAAACTCGAATATTGATGGTCCAAAATGGGTTACAAGATGCACTATTTCCAAAACTTGAAATCCATTTTTTTCTCTTGTCCATGTATCTCAATGTCGAGCTTTGAAGATATTTGGGTATCAAAATGACCTCTTCTAGTGAAATTTTTTAGATTGGTTCAAATTTGATTGTTTATAAATGTCTAACATTATCTTCAAATTTTAAAATATTTAACTGTAATTGTGTAAGTTTATAAAGTTTAGAGACAAAATCACACTACTATCATGTCTTTAATACATCCACACATACAAAAACCCATGCAACCAATAATCTACCACCGTCCAACTGCCATGATCAAACGTCAAAAGCATTGAACACTAGAAATGGCCAATAACAATGTTCATGCTAAGGACTTTTTAACATTAGAAATTATATTTTGAATTATACAAATGTCGACTTAAGGTTTTGTTGTTTGAAAATCTTGTGGACTCTCACAAAGAGACGGGTTTCGCTTGTGCTTGAGAAAATTACAAAGGGCCCAAAAATAAATCTATATAGAAATTGATATATGGGTCAAGGGACTCGTTCCTACATTTGCGTCCCCGATGCATAAACTACAGTCTCAAATATGGATACAACTGGATGGTCCTTTTTTTCAAAAAAAAAAAAAAGAAGTTAAAATCAATAGTCTAAATATTTTATTCATAAAATTATCATTTTTAGTTTTTTAAATTTATTCATTTCATCTCCATAATAGAGATTATATATTTATTAAAATTAGATCAAAATCTATCTCACTAATAGATTTTAAGAGGGGACTCATATCTACATATGAGTCCTAGGACTCATAGAAATGGTGTTCATCAAATAGAAAGGACTACTTTCATATCAAACTTGAGCATATTTTGTCTTTTACAATCAAATTCACATGGAGTCTCCCAGTCCAATCTAAGAATCGGTCACTCTATTATGGTTTTGTGTATATATAGAAAAACGGTCGAGTTTAGGAATAAACTGCCGGCTTCGCACAATAAAACGGTGATTTTGTATAGTAAAACAATTATCCAAACCGTTGATTCACCGATCCGGACCGATTGTGGCTAGTTCATTGTTTTCTCAAGTGTTTTTTTGGCGGTTCACTATTTTTTCTGCACGACAAACGACGATCCAGACCGCCGATTCACTGATCCCGATCAAGATTTTGGGTACCTAATCCGGGTCACTAATCCGTGTTTTAAATCACTGGATAAAAGGATTCAACTACAGAAAAATTTCAAACTTCTGCAAGTCATAAACAACTTCCA